AACTTATAGAATCAGGTAGTGTTCGGTACACAGACATGATGACAGTAAAAGATGGCTGGATTGAACTAGTTATCTGTCTATTTTTTAAACGACTAGGATGGATATGATAGAATTAAACAAGTTGCCCAAAAATTGTTGATTATTTTATATATCATATAATAATCATAAATGACATAAATCAAGTCACTGTTTATATAAATAAAATATTTTATACAATTACGTAAATGACGCAGTAGGAAATGCAGAAGGGTTAACAATCGTTGGAACCCAGAAAAATAATTAAACCTTACAAACGTAGGGTTTAGGAAAATAACAAGAATTCGTAAGAATTCTAAGAAAAAGTCTAAGCTTTATTGAATTGACAATTGAATGAATAACTAACAACGCTAAGGCATGTTTAAATAGGCTAAGAACTATGGTAATTAGATAACTATGGTAACTAGATAATTATGGTAACTAAATAACTATGGTAGCTAAATATAATTATGCTAGTTAGATAATTACTAAACAATAATAAGCAAAGAAAAAGAAATAAATCTGAAAATAATCAAAGGTTCAGCCGGCGTGGGTCAAGGCGCGGCTCGCTGTCGTGGCTTTGCTTTGTCTCGCTGCTTGTCGATCTTTCGGGCTAACTGGTCTACATCAGTAAATATGTAACTGTATTAAATTTAATATAATTGATAGTTAGTTTGAAAACATAATTCATACAAATGAAAGTCTGTATTTTATTTGCTTTGAAAGATACTTATGAACTGATACAAAGACTTGGAGATTGTTGCGGTGACAATGGTGGTGGGATAGATAAGGTGAAGATTGATGGATGATRGTGACTATAAAAGATATGAAGATGGTGGATAATGGTGTTGGAGGCCGTGCTTGGCGGTGGTGACTATGGGATCAAACTATTCAGTATCGACTCTACCCTCCACTTCTTAAAATATGCAACTTTACCCCCTTCATTTACTAAATATCCATTGTCTCCTTGTGTTTTGTATGAATATTTATGAGCAAGTCAGCAACTCTCCGTTAAATTAAACTGAAATAAATCAAGTATTTATTTTATAATTTAAAAAAAATTATAAAAAAAAAATTCAAGATCTTTAATTTGAAACTAATTAATAGACATATACTTTTATTTACATTTTTTTCGGGTTTTTTTTTTTTTTTTTGAACTATATAATATTTATATACGACAAATAAACTCACACGCTTTCTTCATCATTAATGAGGTTTGAACCTCTGACCTCTTAGAATGGCAAGGACTACGATAMCACAAGCACAAAATCACTTTGGTTTTTTTAGGGTATCTTTACATGTTCTAGTTTATATAATGCATGTAATTAGAATTATATTTTGTTAYCTATTTAATTGTAATTCAAGAATTAATATCAATTTAATTTAATCAGTAAAAAAGATAAAAGTGGAAATTAGAAACTAAACTTTAAAGCTCTTGTTTATTCTTGCTTGCTTATGATACAACTCTCTTTGTTACATTACATCTTATTCTTCAAACCCTAAATACACTCCATGCATGCATGCATACACTTATTCAGTTCAGACGAAGAAACCCCCAACCCTGGCTTGCTGAAGAGCTTGGGGAAAACAAAGAGGTTTGCCACTGGTTGTACTTTAGCTTTTGAGCATCTTCTCGAGACACCTGATAGGCGTTGGCAACCACGTCCACCGGCAAGCTTCGGATCGCCGACACACGACCRGAGAGGTTTTCTGTTATGGCGTTTTCATTCGTCCTGAATGAGATCCACCTTGCTCCTTCACCGCCGGCCCTCTTGATCGACGCAAAGTTCTGTGGGACCACCACCACTTGTCCCTTCCGGAGCTCATCGTTTAACACCGATTCTCCCTCGTTGTTCACGATCTGTACCCTCAGGCTGCCGTGAGTTACGTAGATGAGGTTGTGGGCGTTTAACATCCATCGTGGTGACTCAATTGCATTCGGGTAGAGCTCGCCTCTAGCGGCGCTGAGTTGGAGCCACCGGAGGATGGGGAACTTGTAGTTGTTGAGGTTTGAAATCCGSCCGGCTTGTGGGTTGGCGAAATCGACATGGGAAGGGTTGTCRATGTTYTCCTTTAGCTTTAAACTGCAAACAGTCTCTTCAATACCGTTGCTGCGTCCACGTTGTTCTTGTGCTTCTTCTTGTCGGCTCTGTGGTGGCCGGATGACCTGAAGTTCTTGTTCGACTCTAACGATGTGACCCCTCTGGTCTCTTCGTCCCTGGAGCTTCTCGGCAGTCTCCCTATCCACATTGAATGCTTCTGCTAAGAACTCGACGTCGAAACCGATGAAGATGTTGCCGGCGTTGCGGTAAGGCTCCTCCTGGCGACGGCCTGGTTGCCCCTGACCCTGACCTTGACCTTGTTGGCGGCCTGGTTGCCCCTGACCCTGACCTTGACCTTGTTGGCGGCCTGGTTGCCACTGACCCTGACCGTGACCCTGTGGTTGCCACTGACCCTGGCCCTGTTGTTGTTGTTGTTGGCGGCCTGGCTGCCACTTACCCTGACCCTGTTGTTGTTGTTGGCTCTGAGCTTGAGGATTTCCGGCGAGGAAGAATCTCTGAGACATTAATGAAACCTCGAAACTTTTAATCCCAAATTTGGATTAAAAAAAGTTAATAATTAATTACTAAGGACTGTATGTATGTAATTGTACCCTATGGTTTTGATCCAGCTGGTTAGCGGCGTTCTGAGTGTCGAAGAAGACGACTACAACAAGTTCAGTATTACCGTCGTTGTAAATCCAGTGAGCCGCTCCGGCGGGAATGGCAGCAACATCACCCTCGTTCAAGTTCTCCACTTTTTGATGACGATCTTGGACCCTGGATCCTCTACGTTTGCTGGGATCGGAAAACTGYTGTTGGGAGGAAGATTCATAGGTTTCCGGACATCCCGGCAACACAACCCCTTGAAGACCCTTACCTGCAAATTAAGAGCAACAAACTAAAACCCATCAATATCCATCGATTCTTTTTTCTTGAATTCGAAGTTAATAAAAAGAAAAAAACTAAACCCTACCTTGCTCGGTGAACAACAAGAGTGGGGTGTTGACGTAGGACGGCAAGAGAAGACCGCGAGGTTGAATCCGGTGTCGAATAAACTCGACACCAGCACACTGGAATTGCTGGTTATGGG